TTACCTGGCCAAAAATGTCAATAGTCATTAGGGCCAAGGTTGAGAAACCTTCTTTAGCTAAATAAAAATAAATCATTATGGGTCCAAGATGACCATAAGTCTTAGGGTTAATAACATGTGATGTTCTCTACACATACTGTATTTCATGCACACTAACACATCATATGGCAAACATTATTCTGGTCCAATGGTTTCACCACCAGAATATCTTGCTTGCACAAAATAATACTGAATGTAAAGTATAATTGAAAAACATTTAATTGAAAAAAAAAAAAAAGAATTATCTTGCCTGCTTCTCAGGGTGTTGTATTGAGGTTGAATTTTTTTATTCCCAAATAAAATTTTCATTTTGAGTTTCATTGCTTTAAACATACCCACAATTAACACCAGCTAATTTTTTGGAAGACTCAAACTCCTGGGTTAGAATTTTTTTTCTAGTATGGCTTAGTAAAGAATAGAAAGAACAGAAAAGGGGAAATTACTTTTTTTATAATATAAATCTCTGTCAAGTAAGAAAAGCTCTTTGGGAACATGGTTACTGCCTTCCCAAATAAATAATAATCATGAATGCTTTAAGCAAAGCAGTCAATATATTTCTAAATTATCTAAACATCTCTTTCTGTATTGTCATTGCTCATGTTTTTCACACAGGTGCAAAGGTAAATCCACTGTCATGGCTTCCAAGCTAAATATTCATGGTAACTGACATGAAATGGAAAAGTTATAGCTGCAGGAAAGAAAATAAGAAAGGAGTAATGGAAGAGGAGGCTTGGAGTATTATAATCACTCAGGTTAACAAAGTATTACACAGAAATTATGTAATTCCTACTGTATTTGACTTAAATTGATGTATCTACCCCACACAAACATCATTTACAGAATCCATGTCAATCCATACACATGAAGGGAACCAGCACTCCTGACCACAGCCCATTTGGCCAAGATGACTTTCTTTTCAAGGAACTCATGCACAGGCTGGCCATAATATCTGTAGCCTTGAATGAAAAGGTAATCTGATCTATTCAGATTTCTCTCTTAAGAGCCTCAACTAGGAGACACCATTCCCAACAGGAAAAAAGTAATCATGTGGAATGTTTATGTTGAGCACTGGATTAACAGAATTATCTGAAAAATCCTTAAAATAAAACACTCTACATCTCACTTAGCTTAAAAGCATCTCCAGTCTTTGTCACTATAAAAGCATTCACTTGCATGTAAAACTGGTGAATTTTGATTAACGCCTTTGGATGCATCAATGTCAATTTCCTGGTTTTAATACTGTACTACAGTTATGCAAGATGTTATCATCTGGGGAAAATGGGTGAAGGGCACAGAGAAACTCTCTGTACTGGTTGTTCGTTTTGTGGGTTTTTGCGGTTTTTGTTTTTTGCAACTTTCTGTGAATCTATATTTATTTCAAAATAATAAGTTTTTCAGAAAAGCATGTGTTAACTAAAGCATTTACCTGTGAGTATTAGTTTCCTAGAGCTGCCGTAACAAAGCACCACAAAGTTGGTGGCTTAAAACAACAGAGATTCTGGAAGAAGAAATCCAAAAATCCAAAAATCAAGGTGTCCACAAAGCCAGACTTCTTACGAAACCTGTAGGGGAATTCTTCCTTGCTGCTGGGGGTTTGCCGGCAGTCTTTGACCTGTAGATATATCACTGCAATCCTCAGTTGTCACATGGTACTCTTCCTGTGTATCTGTCTTCATGTAGCCATCTTCTCATAAAAACACCAGTCATATTAGATTAGGCACCCACCCTACTCCCGTATGACCTCATCTTAACTAGTTACATCATTTGCAACGTTATTCCCAAATAAATAAGGTCACATTCTAAAGTAGTGGATTTTAGAAGTTCAATACATTATATTTTTCCCTGGGGGGGGGGTACAATTAAATCTATAACATTATCCCACCAAAGACCTAATTTTAGAGCCTATAATTTTTCACAATGGAAATCTTATTTATTCATTCACTTAAAAATCTTTGATCTCCTATATGTATCAGCCACTATGTTAAGTGCTATGAACTCAAAAATTACTAATATGAAGAGTCTGGCTTAGCTTCTTCATCCTTCTTCTATAAATGTCAAAATCTAAGCCTTTTGACATACTCCTTTTCTTTTTTTTTAATTGATTTTAGAGAGAGGAAGGGAGAGAGAGAGAATCATCAATTGGTTGCCTTCTGTGCATGCCCCGACTGGAGCTCGAACTCACAACCTGGGTATGTACCCTAACCAGGAACTGAACCTGCCACCTTTCAGTGTACTGGATGACACTCCAGCCAACTGAGCCACACCGGCCAGGGCTGACATACTTCTTGAAGAATTATTAGAGGTCAATCTTCATAGTCCTACTATAACTGCTCATGGATGTCAAAGTCATGATCTACTGTGATTCTCTGCAGAACATTTATTATCTGATGCTTCCTTGCTCATTTGTTAATTAATTTGCCTGATCCCTGTTTCTCCACTAGAATGTAAGCACTTTGAAGGTAAGGTCCTTATCTGTCTTTGTTCCTCTAATATATTCCTACAAACTAGAAAAAATTTTGACCCAATAAGCATCACATTATTTGTTAAAAGAATGAATGTGCTATGAAAGAGCATTCATTGAATGTCTGTGTGTCAGACCATCTATATAGATCATCCATCTCCATCCTCATAACAACTCTACTAGATAGATGCTGGAGCTCTAATTCACACTTGAAATTAAGGCTTTGAGGTTTGCTATTACCATCCTGCCACACAAGCACCAGAGGAAGGAATCAAATGAGGCATGATAATCACTTCAAATCAATTGGGTTTTACCCAGTCTGAGGTCACAGTCACACTTAAGCTCCTACATTCAATTGAAAATGCTTATTGTCCTGTATTTGGGAAATTATCCTATTTAATAGTCCGGAAATGCATTTCATTTTAGTTTCTAGAGATAAAATCCAAACCAGATAGAATTTCTGATGCTTAAAATAGAAACATTTGGAGAGATCTTTGGATTTAAAATTACATTTGTGATTTCATCTCATCACAGAATCAGAAGATTGAATTAAACCTCTAGTGGCCAACAACAAACCACCACAATTCAAGCATTCCAAATATGCAGCGTATTTGAGATCAAGAGCTAATTTCATTTAAAATTCATGCAATCGATCCAAGAATTGACAATTTAAATTCTAAGTGTTAAACTATCTAAAAATAACTCAAGTCACTTGAAAAGACAGAGAGTACTTTCAAAACAATTCGAACCTTTAATTTTCACAGAAGTTATTTCATAAGTTATTTTCATATAAAGCTTATTTAGTTTATTATACCAAATATTCTTCCTAGAAAAACTTCAAAACCAAATTTCTTTAATTCTCCTTAATACTTTCCAATGCACTCTATTACTAGAATTCCTATACATAGTCATATATTGCTAGACAGATATTTTCTAATAAAAAATACTCTGCAAACCATTCATTCCTATCAAAATTATGATGAGAGATTCTTTTAGCTTTTTTTAACATTAAATTTATTGGGGTGACATTAGTGAATAAAATTACATAAGTTTCAAGTGCATGATTCTATAATACATCATCTATATTGCATTGTGTGCCCACCACCCAAAGTCAAATCTTCTTCCATCACCACATATTTGAGCCCCTTTACCCTTTATCACCCCCTCCTCCCAGCCCCACTGCGGAGATTTTTATGACAGCTGCAAACCCAGATATTTTGGCACTGCTACATTAAATTCTTCATGCCTTTAACATCTGTATACACATTGTGGCCAAATGGAAGGTTCCTTAATGTATTATAAGCACAGCTTGACTATTCCAACGAGAATATGTTTTTTCCACCCTTACATTCTAATTATTAGCTCTTAAACTTAGTGTTTTGTGAAATTAAATGGGTTTTTTAAATTGATTTTAGAGAGAGAAGAGGGAAAGGAAAAGAGAGAAACATTGATGAAACATTGATTAGCTGCCTCCTGCACGTCCCCTACTGGGGATCAAGCCCACAACCCGTGCATGTGCCCTGATTGGGANAGGGAAAGGAAAAGAGAGAAACATTGATGAGAGAAACATTGATTAGCTGCCTCCTGCACATCCCCTACTGGGGATCAAGCCCACAACCCGTGCATGTGCCCTGATTGGGAATTGAACCAGTGACCTCTTAGTTCATGGGCTGATGCTCAACCACTGCGCACCACCGGCCAGGCGAAATTAAATGTTTTAACTGAATTCTATCACCAACCTTGATTTTCAGGTATTGCTAACATTTTGAATATTATCCATCATTTACATTTAATTATAAATTACTTATTTCCAAAGACATGGCTCCACCTTACTCAGTGTCTTGACCTACCAAAATATTTATAGAATGATGGTGTGGGGTATTTTTCATATGAAAAATTCCAAATTTAAAGCTAAAAATCTAAGAAATCATCCATAGTTATTTTATGGATAATATTACTGAGGGAAAAAGAAAAATATGTCTCACGTCACATAGGATGTTGGTAGGAAACCTATTACATAAAGTAAAAGAGCTGGTAGGTCCTGCGCATTTTGCAAATATACTCCAAGGTCTGTGTGCTGAGCGAGGGTAATGCATAAACAGGAAGTACCAGAAACGAAACAACTGGTAAACTTTGGACAGTTTCCCTAAACTGTGGTCAACCAGCAAACAATGTATGCAGGCTGAGCTTCAAAGGAATGTGATTCTAAACAAATGCAATTTATGGAAGAAATAGCCAAGAATGGGGATATATGAAGTTTGAGGGCACAGAAATCAAAACAAACGAAAAAATAAAATAAAACCTCCCAGCTGAAGGGAAACAGAGACAGGTACTAAAGGTACTAAAGGTGTAAGGAGAACATCACGAAACACACTTTCCTTGAGCAAATAACCCCAAACCTAATTTCTTTAATAATCCCAGATAAGAAAACCTATCTATGCCTATATTTTAACATTTTAAGAATAAAGAGGTCTAGTATTGAAGGTAATTTAGTACTTACCAAACCTGCTATTGGTGTGGACAGTCTATTGATCTTCTTAATGATACCAGGTTTAAGCTTATTAATCAAACTGAAAGTGAATAAAGAAATAAGATATGCAATTACAAGAATGCCAATATCAATTCAGTGTTCTTTTCAACATTCTCAAAAATAATATATGTCACTATTCCGTCCCCAATATGTTATTCAGAGCCAAGAGCCCAACAGAAAGAAAACTACTGAGAAAACAATTCAAGAAACAGAACAGTGCTGCAAACAACAGTGAGCGGTCCTCTTAGAGCTTAAGAGACACACTTCTCTATCCAAAGCCAGGTCCTTAAAATAGTGAGCTCCCCATCTATTAAAGAAAAGTAACATCTGTTTGTTGCAAAATTACTAGTTTAAGAATCTCTTCATTATAATTTAGTTCACTTGGTCCTAAGAATACTTGGTTCTATTAATCATTTTCATTGATTTTTTTTCTCTCAAACTGATCCTTATTTTATTTATGTGAAGACTGATAGAACTATTTATTCATATTTACCCCTTTATATGGAGAATAAAAAACAAAAATGAATTAATGCAGCTACAAGTAATTAATAATGTTCATAGGTTCTTTTTAGAGTTCAACATACAATATACATATAGGTATATGTATATTTATGTGGACATTTTAATGTCCGAATGGAAACCGATCCTTATTTTTACAAGTAGTTTCAAAGCTGTATAGTCTTTTTTGCCATATTTAAAGGGTGCAGTGGAACTCATCCTAATAGCCAACTAGCTCTTATTGGTAACTCATTTAAGTCCTTGACTGATTGCTCTGTTACCATAGCAAAATGACTGAATGAAAAATTAAATGTACCAGAGCTCCCAAAAACAGGCTAACAGTTACCTCAGAATCTAATACTGAACAAATTTAAGTTGCTATGACAACCTACAAAGATCTATGTCTCCACACTCTAGAACACCAAAAAAGAACACAGCTTTGATGACTACAACTTACAGTACACTTTTTGGTTCTAAATCTAGGTTCATGTGAATTCTATTTTTTTGTGCTTCACTAATACAGTGCCAGGCCACAGAAATTTAATACTATAATAATGCTTTTATATTAATTCTAGTTTGGTTAATTAATAGTCAGTCAACAAAGTCACTGTGTCAAGTTGCCAGAAAACAAGTTGACACGGTGACTTTCCTATTCAATAATCCATCCACCAAAAAAATTTTTTTTAATTATTTATTCTGTAACAGAGCTCCACTAGGAAACCAAATAAAGGAGAAAGAACCAAACATTCTTAATTTACTGGTCTCTTCACAATGGATGATAGAAAAGAAAAAAAAATCTGACACTTGTGGAATGTCACTCCTTCAACATTCCAGAGATTTATATACACACTTGACTGTGCTAAAAATAAAAAAGACAAAAGTCTCAATTTAATAACCTTTAGAATGTTGTTCGACAGGATTCAAAATGACAAAACAGTGGTTTATGAATTCTTAGCCCAGTGAACAAAAGATGTTTTTCTGTTTTCATAGTTTCTTACACAGAGATCTTTAGACAACTGAATAAAACTTTCTCCTCAACTTTAAGCATCTAGAACTGTTCACTCCCTGATTCCTGATTTCTTATTGTGTACTAAAAGCCATGTAGGAAGGAAGGTTTTCTCCCTTCATGGCCACTTTATTTTTCTTTAATGCTTAGCTCAGGGGCTAGAAAAGAATTGAGCAGGTTTATACAAAATGAGAGTTCCAAATTAATTTTGTGGTTGTTCCCTACTAACCAGGTATTTCTAAAATTCTATTAGAGGTGGCATTCTTGCAATGCATAGAATAACTAAACCATTACTTAATAGGAACATTATTCTGGCACAATCTAAATCAAGAAATTTGTGGCAGTTGACCACTAGCTGGGCAGTGATTTTCCTATAGTTAATTTGGATCTTAAAACATAACCTTTCCTTGATAGTAAATGTTAAAGACCAATATGAGCTGGGGCAACTTATAAAATGCCAGGAAAATCTGACATGAGTTGACTTTGTTAGAGGAAGTGTCATACATTCCTCCTCCACCCATTTGAGTCACTGGGGACTTTGTCCAGATCATTCAATTTAGCTGTTTACTTCACTGATTATTTTTGTATTACAGTGTTAATAATATAAAGGGCATTTTTTTTAAATATAGTTTCTGGGATGGATAATAACACAGCCTATTCTCAATTAAGTCAGCTAAGGGAAGTAAGGGATAGAGGTAAAGGAAACAGCCAGATAAATGTTGTCTCCCAATCATGAGTTGACTCCTCTCTCATCAGAAGTTCCCAAAACTATTGCTTAGAGAAAACATGCACAGTGGACCGGAGCCCTTCTCCACTCCTGGGCCTCCTAGTACAGGTACAAACATGGAAATAAACACAGGGACAAACCAACACTCTGGATAACACACAAACTACCCTCTAAAAAGTCGTATGACTAGAGAAAAAATGGTATTTTATTTGTCATCTATTAAAACAGTATCAATTCTAAGAACTAGAGTATGGAGGAAATGCACATGCAGTTTTGGCAGATACTGAACATCCCATCGAATTATGAACCATGAGTAATTCTGTTCATAAACAATTAAAAGAAGGACTTCTAAGGAGAAAAATAGGTTTCATAAAATTTAAATTTCTGTGACACATAAGTATATCTAAAGGAATGGGGCATAGTCTTATGTCAAATAAAATACAAACGTCACGCAAGAGAAATACTATTCTCTTTTGCAAATAAAACTTCTTTGCATAATAAGCGTTCTTCAGTTACACATGTTCCTGAAGTCAGCACTGATTTCAGATGACTGGCTCTATTTGAGAATGAGACAACCTGCTAACCTCCCAGATGCCTCTGTGCGCAAGGACCATTACCTCTACCTGCGTCCCCATATCTATCCTCCAACCCCCTGTAGCATTATACAGCCACTCCACCACGCCTTCTCTCAGGCCACGGCATAAACCTGGCGATGTGCTTCACAGCCCTCAGAGGTCTGCTTTTGGTAAGATTAAAACCAGAACGGAAAACACCGAGTCGTTGGTATCCCCCATAGACGAGCGCTCTCGCAGCAAGGCCTGCAACCCTCCCCTTCAGCTCCCCTCTCCAGCTGTAGTCTACAGTACTAACGCGCTAGCAAGTGGGCTCTGTTCCAAAACCTTGTCACCAACGACTGTAGCATGACTTTAAACGAAACTCGGAGATGGGACTCAGCAAATTGTCCATGAAGCTCGACATGATGTCCAGCTCAGTTATAGAAGGTTTTAATCAGCATTGGACGCTCCGTCTGTTAGTCTCTAGAAACTAGTTCCAAATGCCGAACCTCATTTCCCCCTTTATTAGGAAGCTTTCCAGCAGAGGTACAAAACGTAGGGACACATTTTGACTTCCTGTTTCCAAAGATTTTCCAAATGCACCAGAGAAACGGACATCAAAGAACACATCAATGCACTGAGAGTAAATTTTTTCAACTGAAAATTTTTTGGTTAGTCAATCACACATACGTTTCTAATATCTGTCAACTACATTTTTAAAAATATATACACCCAAAGTAGTCAAAGTTTTCTGATTAGTAACCAAAAATTTTTAAAGATATAATAAAGATATTACACATTTCCTTACAAATTAAAGAGCAACAATATTGGTTGTATCCGTTATTTGACATTTACTCATTTGCCTAGTTTCTTCTAGATGCAAACTTTGCTCAACAAACATTTGAAAGCTTACAAAGACAGAGCACTGTGCTGCGATCAGCCGCAGAGCAGCCGGTGAGGCTGCTGAGCACACACGAGAATATTTTCTCAATCTGAACAGCATCTCCTAGCACTGAGCAAGGTACCTGGCATATAGTAGGTGCTTTAAAAATACTGGCTAAAATCCACTGTCTAACTTTCAATGCAGAAATTTTTTCTGTTAATAATTCAAAACCTCTATCTTCTTTATAGAAATAAGTTTAGAAAAACTTTACCTTTAGTTTCATTCAAATACTAGAAATGTTTTTTTGCTTCTCCCAACAAGGGCACCTCTCATTTTTCTGTTTGCAGATAGTCAAACTTCAGTGTTCTCTCCTAATTGCCAAATGTTGATCAAGAGAGTAAACTCTCTATCAGATATATTAATTGGACTGGTTTTCTTTTTTTAATAAATCTGCTTTTTACTTTATTATATTGTCCACAGAAATAATATACATCTGTAGAATAAATTTTAGTGACTGAGTACAGTCCCTTCTGTGGATGAACCCAGAATGTATATTAAAATATTCTATAACTGTTACACTATCTTAAATTCCTTGCTAAGATTTTAAATTAATTACCTCCATCTAAATTTATAAGCTGTAATATTTTTTTAAATAACAGTGAGTAGTGATCACATTTCCATGGATAAAGTAATAAGCAGATTAATTTTAAATTTCAAAGTGTAAAAGCAGTCAGTATAAACATTTATGATAATTTTCTTTTATTTTTTAGTTTTTTTAAATATATCTTTATTGATTTCAGAGAGAGGAAGGGAGAGGGAGAGAGACAGAAACATCAACATTGATCGGCTGCCTCCCGCACAACCCCCACCGGGGATCGAGCCCGCAACCCAGGCACGTGCCCTGACCAGGCACTGAACCGCGATCTCCTGGATGCCAGGTCAGTGCTCAGCCGCTGAGCCACGCCAGCTGGGCTATGATATTTTTTAAAGACAGGGAGTAAAATTAATGTAAGTTCAATATGTAGAATTCCCATGATAGTAATTCTGAATACTGCTGAATCACCTACCACACAAACGCACAGTTAACAAGGCATGCTAAAATGGGAAATGTGTGGAACAGCAACAAGTCAGTACCAATAAAATTTATAGTCATCGTTTTATTATACCAGGACTTCCTTACCTAGCCTCACTGTAATGCCTGAAGCAGCCCTCTTGCAGGGAGTCCCGCCAAGCCTAAGGGTCTGACAGCAGGTTTCCTATTCCAATCAACCTCAACAGTCAGAGCACTAATGGATCTCCTGAGTAGCCAGAACCCTCCCAAAACCATACCAATAACAAAGGGCGCCTAGCAGAGGGCTCAGGCTCCTGTCCT